AGCGCACAACCCGGGCATGTGCCCTGACCGGGAATCGAACCCTGATCGCCTGGATCCTAAGTCAATGCTCAACCGCTGAGCCACGCCAGCCGGGCTATTCATAAACAAAACACCACCTTCAAAACTGTATTCTTCAAAACCGTCGAGGTCATAAAAAACAAGGAAAGACCAAGAAGCTCACAGATCAAAGGACTAGGTGCAGTGTGGTCATTGGTTTGATCCTAGGTCAGAAAAAAGGACATGAAAGGAAGAAAATTGGTGAAATCCAAACAAAGCTTGTAGCTGAGTTAATAATATTGTATTGACATATACAGCAACTCTCTGTACTGCCTGCAACTTTTCTGCAAATCTGCAATTATTTCAAATAAAAGTTAATATTTATTTACATTCCTAAACTTATTCCGATGTAGAAGCCCAGGATCCATTTGAGGGCAAGTTGAATACTGAGTCTGAAAGTAAGCACAGTTAAATTGAGGTCTTATTAAAAAAATTATGCTTAACTTTGAGTCTGTTTAGTCACCTAACATGGATTTTAAACCTTAGGAGCTTCAACTGCCATTAAAACAATATTGTGCTGCTATTTCTGTACTGATAATGCCTCTTACAAAGAAAGTCACTTCTCTGTGGAGACAACAGAGCTGTTTTTATAGCACTAATGTTGATTGACAATTGGCTTGTTCCAAAGGTTAAAATTATAGAGATGAGCAACAGTAGAGTGGGAAGGAATCTCATTTACAGAGATTGTTACTACTTAGTTTTCTAAGCATGGACCGATGATTACTCAGTAAGCAATATGGGAATTATCAGTCATGTTACCCAGATGGTTTTTTATTAACGTAAAAGAAAAAGTCAACCTTAGACTTGATGTAAGTCTGATACTAAAACCTGATAAAGATAACGTGACAGGACTGTAGACTAATCTCACCTGTAAGATACATAAATCATAGATCAGTTATTATCAGAGAATTGTGCAATATAGCTTTAAGTACAGCTTGATCACGTGGAGATTATTTCAGGCATGTAGGGTTGTTTTAATATTTGGGAATCTATTATAATAGGAAATCAGTGCATTAAAATTATAAGTAAGCATATAGCCATCTTACTGAATATAGAAATAGCATTTGATTTTTAAAATTTTTAATTTCTTTGTAGAAGCTTAGAAAACTAGAATTGAAAAAGACACATTACTGTGATTTTTTAAAAAACCATCTCAGCCCTGGCCAGGTGGGCCAGTTGGTTGGAGCATCACCCCATCCACCAAAAGGCTGAGGGCTGTCTCCAGTCAGGGCACTTACCTAGGTTGTGGGTTCGATCCCCAGTTGGGGTGCACACAGGGGCAACCTGTCAGTGTTTCTCTCTCTCTTTCCCTTCCTCTGTCACTAAAAATCAATAAAAACATACCCTCGGGAATATTTCTCAATTTGGTTTTGTCTGATATTTTCTCATTAGATTCCAGTAATGCACTTTTAAGTGGAATGTTACATAAGTGAAGGTCTGAACTTCTCAGGGAATCACATCCAGGGGCACACGATATGGGTATGCCTCTCTTTGTGATGTTAAATTTCTTTACTTGCTCCAGTTGCTGTCTGGGAGAAGACACTTTTAAGGCCCTGCACATAACCTACTCCTTAATCAAACTCCTATAAATTCATTAATGATTCTAGTACATAATCTTATTATAATAGTTGCAAAATTATGACTTTCCAGATCCATCACTTTTCTACATTTATCAGCTTTCCTTCCTTTATTTTTTAATTTATTCATTCATCATTTTCTTAATAATATAAACTTAGACATTCCTCTTTTACTCAATAGAGTATAGTTCGTTGTGGTCTTTATTGTGATGCTCAAATTGTCCGAGAGTTGGCCAGTGTGGGCTGACTCCGGCTGGGTTTTCTGTCCTTTGAACATATTCCCATCATCTTATGAGCCCTTCTTTACTTTCTGGCATAACAAAATGTTCCAAGCTCCTTTTGTACCTTTATTGCTCTAGCCCTGGAATCAGTCCCTTGTCCAAACAGCCCTGGTTCCTTTGAGTGAGGAATGGTTTGGGCACTAGGTATATTTGATGATAATGGGAGTCTTTGCTTCTAGTCCCTTGAAAGAACAAAGCTAAGGAGAGAGAGAGAGAGAGAGAGAGAGAGAGAGAGAGAGAGAGAGAGAGTGTGTGTGTGTGTGTGTGAAAATTCTGAGTTAATGCTGATAACTAATTCCAATCCAACCCCATGGAGTTCTTTCTTGCCTTTCCCAAGGCCATATTTCTATTTCCCCTTCCACAGTGAAAACTCTTGACTCCCAAAATATCAAAACATTTACTTATTTGTTCAATCCTACAGTACATATAAAGTTGTTTCAGAATCACTATACCCATATCCCTGTGCAAAGCAGACCTAAAAAGAACACAGTGTCTGTTGGGGATTTTTTCCCTACTGGTAACATAGTGTCAAAGACAATACTCCATAGTTGCTGGGGTTATTCCTCTGTCTCTGTCACCAGCTGTTTAGTTTATTCATTTGAAATATGGTTGGATTCATCCGTTTCCATTTGCATTCCGCTCTAAGGGGTTGTTTTAATTCTGTTGACTTCATTTTACTTTTGAATATTTAGAACATTAGCATACTTCCTTGAAGTTGAAACTCTATGGCAAAGTATACTCACAGAGGTGTCCCTTCCTCCATGGTCCTGCACCAGGTTCCTCTCCCTAGCTGCTGTGGGTAACTAATTTCATTGTTTTCTTGCATATTTTCTTTTGTTCCTTTGCTTTTTTTTTTTTTTTAACTTACCAGTATAACCTGGAAGTCATTTCATATTAGATTTGTTGAGCTCATCATTCTCGCTTTTTCACACAGAACTGATTCAGGTACTTTGTTCAATGGGTCTTCTGTGTTTGGGCGTTTAGATCAGTTCTGATTATTTTGCAAATGCAAATAATGCTACAATGAATAACCTTATCCATGTGCATTTTCACACCGTTGAAGGACTGTCTTCAGGGTAAATTCCTAAAAGTAGGATTCCTGGGTGGGGGGATGAACGCCTGCTTAGTTTGATTAGCCACTGGCAAAGTCCCCGCCACCTGGCTTGTATGTTTTGCGCTCCCACCAGCCGTGAACGAGAGGGCCTGTTTCCTCACAGCCTTACCAGCCGAGGACAGTGTCAAGCTTTGAACATTTATGAGTGTTCCTAGAGAGAAATGGTATCTCAGTGTAATGTCTCTTATTATAAAAGTTGTACATCTTTTTATAGATTTGAAGTCCATTGTGCATCTTTTAGTGAAGTAGTTTTTTCATAACTTTTGCCTGTTTTTCTGGATGATTTTTGGTCATTTTTTTAAAAGCTGCTTATATATCAGGGACATTGGCTCTTTACCTGTAATATATATAGCAAATGTTTTCTCTCAATCTGTTACTTGACATTTGGTTTTGCTTCTCTTGTTTCTTACCATGCAAAAATGTTTTGTGTCCAAATAACCACAAATGAGGGCTTTTGTTGTCAGATCTGAAAACGCAAGATAAAGCTATAGAAATTAAAACAGTATAATTTTGATGGGAAAATAGGCAGAAAGGTCATTAGGATACAGTGGCCCCCCAAATGCAAATATATGCATACATTTCAGTGTATGTGTTTTATAAATTTAGTATATGATAAAAGGGACACTTCCAATCAGTGATGAAGGGGATGGTTACTTAGGAAGTCTACTGGACACTCAGTTAACTGTTTAAAACACCAAAGTTAGATTCCTACCTTAAATAATCCACCAAAGAAATTGTGGTCCAATAAGTTAAATTGTTAATAAACAAAACCATCAAAATACTAGAAGAAAATATTGGTTAATTATATGAGCATTTCTCAACCTCAGCACTATAGAAATTTGGACTGGATAATTTTTTGTTGTGGGGATTCTACTGTGCATTATAGCATATTTAGCAACATCCGTTGTCTCTTCCCACTAGATATAAGTACCGCCCTCCCAGTCATGGCAATCAAAAATGTCTCCAGACATTGTCAAATGTCCCCAGGATTTCAGGGTGGTGGTAAAATTACCCCTAGTTCAGAACCACTGATCTGTATTATGTTAACTAATAGACACGTAATATCTGAGAATGAAATTACAAAGAAAAATTTGGAAAATATTTGCTACATAAAAGAAAAAAACCTTAGTACTTTAAGAAGCTGTAAGATATGAAATTGAAAGTCAGGCAACAAATTGAAAAATATGTAGCATAAATGGTATTCACATTACATAAAAAGTAATCAATAAGGTGACCATCCCAATAGAACAGCCAGTGAAAGACACAAATAGACAATCCCCAAAGGTAGAGATCTGAATAGCCAAATATATAAATACCCAAAAATATTTACCATACTAATAATCAGAGATATTCAGTATAAAAATACAGGATGCATTCTTTACCTTTAATATTAGTAACTATTAAACTTATTTGGCATGGGTATGGAAGACAGATAATTCCATAAAGTGAAGGAGTATAAATAAGGACACCATTGCTGGAGCACAGTGGGCGATACACATTGGACCTTTCAAACATATACATAGTTTTGTCTGTGTAATTCTACTTCTGGGCCTTTATTCCAAGGAAATAATTGAACTATAAAAATGTTCATTGCAACACTATTGATAATTGGTAAACATTGGGAAAGCCCATGTGTCAAACAGTAAGGAACTGGTCATATAAGTTAAGGCATATCCATATATAATGGCATATGTGAGATCAGTACTACCATTGATGATGTACATGGAAAAATGAATAAATTATAGGAAGAAACTCAGTAACCGAATTGTGTATGTGTGTCTATATTTCTCTGAGGTAGATTGATACTGTTAGCTACATAAATGCTATTTTAAAAAATGGAGTGGCTAAACTTGGTGTTAAGCAGATCCCCGTTTCCCGTGGTGCGCGCGTCTCCCCGAACGAGCTCCCTGCTCTCTTGTGTGAGCGGACCGCGGGGAAACCAGCCTAAACCCTGACTGATCCTCTTTGCAGGTTGCTTCGGGCGAGTGCAACGAGGACACGGAAGTTTACAACATCACCCTGTGCACAGGCGACGAGCTCACCCTCATGGGGCAGGCCGAGATCCTTTACGCGAAGACGTTTAAGGAGAAGTCAAGGCTCAACACGATCTTCAAGAAGATCGGGAAGCTCAATTCCATCAGCAGGCTGGGGAAAGGCAAGATGCCGTGCCTCATCTGCATGAATCACCGCACCAACGAGAGCATCAGCCTTCCCTTCCAGTGCAAGGGCCGGTTCAGCACCCGGAGCCCCCTGGAGCTGCAGATGCAGGAGGGAGAGCACACCATCCGCAACATTGTCGAGAAAACCAGGCTTCCCGTGAACGTGACGGTGCCCAGCCCGCCGCCCAGGAACCCCTACGACCTGCACTTCATCCGCGAGGGGCACCGCTACAAGTTCGTCAACATCCAGACCAAGACGGTGGTGGTGTGCTGTGTGCTGCGCAGCAACAAGGTCCTCCCCATGCACTTCCCCTTGCACTTGACCGTCCCCAAGTTTAGCCTCCCGGAGCACCTGGTGAAGGGGGACATGTGGCCGGAGGCCCTGGTCCATCACTGGCTGGGCATCTGCCAGGAGCAGTTCGACATCGATGAGTATTCGCGGGCCGTCCGCGACGTGAAGACCGACTGGAGTGAGGACTGCAAGAGCCCCAAGAAGGGCCGGTGCTCGGGCCACAACCACGTGCCCAGTGCCCTCAGCTATGCCCGCGACGAGCTCACCCAGTCTTTCCACCGGCTCTCCGTCTGCGTGTATGGCAACAACCTCCATGGCAACAGCGAGGTGAACCTGCACGGCTGCAGGAACCTGGGGGGAGAGTGGGCCCCCTTTCCTCACGACATCCTGCCCTGCCAGGACTCGGGGGACAGCGGGAGCGACTACCTTTTCCCAGAGTCCAGCGAAGAGTCGACGGGGCTCCCAGGAAAGTCGGAGCTTCCTTACGAAGAGCTGTGGCTGGAGGGAAGCAGCCCCGGCCACCGGCCTCTGGCGCGCTCCCTGAGCGAGAGGAGCAGGTGCGACCAGGCCAGAGGTTCTGCCCGGTCCAAGTGTGCGCCGTCGCCTCTTCCCGTTCCTGGGGCCCTGGGAGCAGCGATGAAGTCCTCAGAGATTGCCCTACCTCCACCTCCAGTGCCTCCCAAGTCTGAAGCCGTAAGTCATGCCTGTTTGTGGGTGACGGGCCAGCCCCTCCAGAGCGCTCTGCGCAGCCCCCCACTCCTTTATTTCCTTGCCTGAAGGAAGGGTTAACCCCCCGACGGGAGATGATCAGAATGAGCAAGCTTGCCTAGCTTGGAGTGAGCTCCAAAAGCTTGCTAGATTCGTTTTACCACTTAGGGGCTAGGGTTTTACTCTGGGCTTGATGAGCGACCCTTTGAGGGTTTAATGGGGGAAGATTAAACGTGATTTCCGCTGCTGTCCAGAGAACAGGTCCTGGGGG